AATAACTCCAAAAGTATTTAACGAAAAGATACTTTATTACAGCGTTTTGGAAAGCTGTTGAAATAAGCTACAAAAATATTTAATGACAAAGGAGGGTTCCATATAAAAATTTCAAGGTGATCTATAGATAACCTTGATAAAGCTATTCAAGGTCATACTGATATTGCTATGAAATGGGGCACCAAAAACGATACAACTTTAGTGTTTAACATTTTTTCTATCTTGGATATTTAAAAAGTTATTCAGGAATTTCAACGTAAATATACATATATATGTATATGTAAAGTGAACCGTTGCACCCATTATCGTCAAATACAATACCAGCCATCTTTTAATCACACTCAATAAATGTGCCAAAGTAGAAGGCGATATCTCAAAAATTGCGGACGTGAGAGCGCGAACAATTATTGCGCACATACATACACACACACATACATTTAAAAAAAAATTGTTTTTTTAAGTTTTTAAAACATTTTAAACCCATTGGCATTGAAAACTGGAAAAAAATTTTTCGCATGAAAACAAAGCTTCCTCTATGAGGAAGCAATAATAAATTAAAAATAATAAATATGAGAAGTTGTCCACATGAGAAGTTGTCAACTTATGAAATGTCACAGACAATTTATATGGTAAAAATATTTTCTTCAATATCGATTTATATTGAGGTTATTTTTTTAATATGTAGATAAGATAGATTTCATATTTTATTCAATTTGGCAATGCCTAATGGAAATTATAATGTTGATACAAACGCGAAATTTATTAGGAAATCTAGTAACAGTTTTTTTTCTATTGAATATTATAGTTCTGTTGTGCTACTATTAATACTATGAGATATTGTATTTGTATAATAACGTTTATTTAAAATTTGTTACAACATATGTTCAAAATGCCCCCCGCCCAATTCTACACAATTCTATAGTATCTCGTAGTAGTACAATTAATAGTAGTACAATAAAAATATAATAATCAATAGAAAAAAGTTTGTTACTAGATTTGTTAATAAATTTCGCGTTTGTATCAACATAGTTTCCATTAGGCATTGCCGAATTGAATAAAATGTGAAATCTATCTTATCTACATATTAAAAAAATAACCTCAATATAAATCGATATTGAAGAAAATATTTTTACCATATAAATTGTCTGACATTTCATAAGTTGACAACTTCTCATGTGGACAACTTCTCATATTTATTATTTTTAATTTATTTATTTTTATTTTTTCATGTTTAAATATGACTCAATCAATAACATCAGCATCATTGTACATACAATAATTACTTAAATTTTTTTAGGTATATCGGCAAAGATGCAAGAGTACCTTTATCACTGTGCAATGTACCGTCCCTGAACGCGCGAACTTTAGACTACCTGATTTGTCTATTATAAATGCTTCCCATTTGAAAAGTATTATAGCCTCGACATTTTCGTATTAGGATTTTCGTCTTACATTTTGCTCAAAAATATGTTATTAAAATTTCGGTCACGAATTGCGGTACACCCTGTATAATAATACGACTTTTCTCATCTTATTACTATAGGGAGTGATGGACAGAATAGTTGCGACACTTTTTGTTAGTGAGTATAGGAACGTGCATTTGGATTGAGGGTTACGTTCAAAAACCTTCGTCTCCAATGAATATTTACTCGATTGCCATTCCGAAACCATTTTGAGCGTGTTCAATCTATGTATTTCTTTAGTAAAATTGTCCCAAGAAAAAATGTTTTGGAACGTAAACCTAAAGTTAAGTGCACATTTCTAAATTCATTATAAAAGTGTCGCAACCATTCTGTCCATCACTGTAAATACGTTAAACATCATTCATGCCTTCCATACAAATTTGTACACATATAATCACATTTATATTGTACATTTTCCGTTTACGTACAGGGAAAATGTACGTATGGTCTATGTGCCTAAATGTATATGGAAAGGCATCAGTGATGCCTAGTGTACGAACAATAAAACTTAAGAATGTAACATATTATACATGCGAGTAAAAACATTTTCTCCATATTTACAAAGTATTGAACGTGTGTATCGATATACATATTGTAACATGTGTTATGATTATAATATTCTTCATAATTAAGAAGTCCAATATGATAGATAGTTATATGTATGGCAGCTTATTCATTATGTTTCGTATTCAGATTGGGGATACATTACAAGAGGCATGAATAACCAAAAACAGAATTCATGATTGTTTAATCCTCACGCGTAACTGTACATATGTACTGCGTCTTCGAATAAACTTTACATAAAGAAACATGTCGATTAACATGTATAGCATTTTGCAACGCAAGACGAACGTTACATCGAAATCTGTTGTTGAATCCAGGGTATGTATTTGGCCACATCAACATAAACGACGTATTTTTGTGGATCGCATTGTATAGTTTCACCTGGTAAAATTCGCGAAACAACACCACGCAACTCATAACTGCCCGTGATATTATTCAAAAGTATCAGCCCGTTTCCACTGTCACCGTTACAAGGACTAAATCCGTCTATGTCACCAGCGCAAAATGTGTTTCTCGAAGTCAAAGAAACGAACCAAGGATCAGACCAGTGACATGTCTCCTGCAATTTGCGAAACAAATTTATCTTTAACTCGAGGCCTGCAATGAAGCTGAAAAATACATTTGTCACAGATAGATGTAATGAACAGTCATTTTAAAATAGCATTTAACTACTTACTTGGCTCACTATCGTTGCCATCACCATCTGTTGATCTTCGATATCACGACGATTCAATTCGTCTTCACCCCATCCTACGACATACCCTGTCTTATTAATAACGTCTTCAAGTTGAGTTAAACCGGACCATAGACAAATAGGCTTGATAAAAGGATTGAACTCGACGACGTTCTTGAGGCTCAAAACCGCAAGATCAAAATCGGCGTTGATACCATTTTTAAAATTGGAATGAATCTCATAGCTGGCGACTTTCAGATTGGCAGATCCATATTCCTGCGATTGGAACAAGTTAAATCTCCCCAGTAATACCTCCACCATATTGGGGTGTATTGTACCGTTGATAGAAGCGTCTATTTTCATGCAATGCGCCGCTGTAAGAAAGATATACGTATTAATTATATTTTTTAACGATCCAAACTTTCTATCCGGAGGTATCCTGCAAGTTCTTTTCGTATTATAAACATCATATACATACATATGTTATACTCTCGAATTAAATTAAGTATCCAAATTTAGTATGACAAAAAATAATTTTGTATCT